TGAATGATGATGGAATGGTGCACCCGCCTGCGCTAACGGTTTACGCTGGCGTGTGACCCAGTGGAGGATGAGTTACGTCAGTTAGCCCATCGTGACAAATTCACCAAGAGTATCACGATGGTTTCCAAGAGGAACCGCGTGGAGGTCAACCTGACATGGTACATTGCTAGCAATAAGATGATCATCAGTCCACATTACCAACAATCCCCTTTTCCCCCTATTCGACGATTACAATTACGCTACTTAAGCCAGTGATCATAAAAGCGGAAGTAGAGTCAATTTTACATATACTTTGGACTTTGGAATGTATGTAAACGATATCTCCGCGCATTGTAATGTTTATATATTATAAAATAAAATCGTAAAATCGTGACAAGGCGAAAACTTGCTCATATGTTTTTTATTAACAATACCCCAGGACAATTCACACAGTGCCATCTACTCCAAGTTAAGCAGAGCTTGTGTTATGGGTACTAGACAACTGATAGATATACTCTGATTTTTTGTAAATACATACATAATATACATTGAAAACACCCAGACCAATACAAACAAGAGACAATTAAATTTCCACCGTGAAGAGACAAATTATATTTAATATTGTACCAATTTTTTTTTTCTTTAATATAAATAAAATTCTATTAACATGATAATTTATTGCATTGCGTAGTTATATATTATTTTCTGTTTAGTTTACTTTTCATTATATAACCTTATCTAGCTATCTAGCGTATATTGAATGCGTCTATATAATTTAGCTTTTAGGCATACATAGTGTTGGATTACAATCCAGTTTTGTACCGAACTACACGCTCCTAGTTATATTATTATATTGATTGTAATCTGTTTTGTAAGCTAATAAATAAATAAACCATCCTACTCATGAATACAAATGTTACAAACATTTGTTTATTGGAATGTTGGGATTCGAAACCGCGACCATCGGTAACAAAGTGGTCTGCTTAACCCCAAGACCACCGAGGCAAAGTTCTGTTAATATAGAAGTATGATAATTAAATACACAGGGGATGGGGATTGTTAGTAATGTAGACTTATAACCCTTTGCTAGCAATGTACCATGTCAGGTTGACCTCCACGCGGTTCCCCTGGAAACCATCATGTTAAATTCACGGCGAATTTACCACGATGGACTGTCTGACCTGACCTTATGCTCATCTTATCATCCTCCACTGGTGCCCCGCCAGTGTAATCCGTCAGCGCAGGCAGGTGCACCATTCCATTGTCATCCATAAGAATAAAAATGCTATAAAGGCAGTTCTGTTAATATAGATGTATGGTAATTAAATAATATATGACGTCATTTGATTGTTATCTAAACGCGTATGGTTCCACCAATGTCAGTGTAGTAAAAATAAATAATACGCAATTAAAATAGTATACATTAGCATGAAAGTTAATTATTATAGATACGACAGTGGTACATTGAACGGTGGACGATTAAAGACAGTGTAATGTTAATGACCTCCAATATATAACATATCAGAATGTAATCCCGACAAATACCAAGATTATAATTGTACAAACAATTATAGGCTGAGTGTTTAAGTACTAGCCGTGCCGAGGCTTCATTCGTGTGGAATGGTGACCTTGACAAATAAAGAAAACATATTAAATAATCTAACACAAAAAATCTAAAGATAAAAGTTGCATCGTTATAACTTCAAAAATACAAATTTCGCATTTATAATATAATAATAAAAAAAATATTTTAGGGCCTAAAAAAATGTATCAAAACGATGAAAGAAAGCTTTTTTTATCCAACATAAAAATGTCTTGTAAATATTAAAAGTTTTAATTGTGGATTATTTAATGCAAAACTCTAACACCGGGTACACTATATCCTAGTTTATGGTATATGTTGAACCAGTTCAAACATTATCAGTGTCCTAAATATTCTTATCACTTCAGCTTTTGACCGTTATATGATAACAGACACGTTTAAATTCAGTGAGAAGCCACTTCTAGAACACATGTTAGCTTCACAAAGAAAAAAAAAACAGAAAAAAAAACATTTTTAAAAAAAAACCTTTTTTAATCCTGTCAATTTCATTTTTATGGTAACACAAACAGCAAGGTAATATGGACTACTGTTACTATTTATTTTTTTCGGACTATAATACTGCTGTCCACAGTTGGCCTTTACAGCTTCACCAAATAATAGGAGGCGAATGCAGATAACACTCCCAACCAAAGGAAGGACTAATGAAATGGCCAACTCTCGCCTGACGGATACGACTTTAGTGTAAAGGCCAGTACCTTTAGGGTAAGGGTTGGAGCGTGAGCTCAGGCCGTAGTAATTTCGATCCCCGTTTGAATTAAACGGGGCACTAATCGTAGGGGGCACTTAGTCTAGCATCTTCTTGATTTTCTTTGTTTACAAACAACTTATATATGCAATGAAATTGTAAAAATGCTATGTTTCACATAGCATTTTTACAATTTCAAAAAAATTACTGTTTCATATATAAATGGGTAGACAAATTACAATGCCATTTTTATAGTACACATTATTAAATCAGGTGTAACATACAGATTAAAAAGTTGGGGAAAAATACCCAATACCAATACATAATTTTGTGCCATTTTTTAATACACTTTTTATAAAAAAAATGCCACCACTGTCTGTTCACTTATATCTCTTAAATTATACAACCGATTTTAATGTAGTCTTCAGTAATAGATAGAGTGATTCAATAGGAACGTTTATATGTATATGTAATACATGCATGTATGGAACGGGTCGAGAAATTCAGTATGCTAGTTGTTTAATAAAAATAAAACATTATGTATATCTTATAAATGCGTAAGTTTGTGAGTATAGATGTTTGTTACTCTTTCATACAAAAACTACGGAATGGATTTTAATGAAACTTTATAGTAATATAGCTTATGAATCACAATAACATATAGGCTATATTTGTTATTGAAGTTTAGCGCGTTTTCACCGATAGTATATCATATAGTGTACATAGATGCTTTATATATTGTTATTTTATCACTATCAGTAGATAGCAATCAACAAAAGACGCAAACGATCTCATAGACATTATTATGTAATGCTCATTGTTCTTTTTTACTATATATGTACATTCACTGTGAAGATAACTTTTGCTATTATGTCCCTAATATAATTCATTCATAATTTAAGACCCACTCGAGAGAAGGAGATTGTTAGTAATGTGGACTGATTCATTCCTACCAATGTACCATATCAGGTTGACCACTATGCAGTTCCCCCTGGGTAACCATCATGTAAATATGATAAATATCTGGTGAAGTTATCACAATGGGCTGACTGACTTGACCTCATGTTCATATATATGAGATGTTTCATATCTCATCATACTCTACTGATGCCCCCAGTATAAACCATTACAAGTTGGTGCACCATTTCATTAGTAACCATAAAAAAATTAAGAACCACTCTTGTCAGTGCAGTTTTTACCACTTCCCACATTCCTCCAACTACAATATATTTCATTAAAGAAATGCTTAATAAATTTAAATATTCTGTTTTGCGTGAATTGGTTTTAAAACAGATGTTGTTTAAGTCACAGTATGCTTCAATAGGCACTTATAAGGGATCATTGAACTACCTTACAATGTATTAGTAAAGTTTCTTGCCATTTCTTTTCAAATGAAACAGCTGCTATAGATAATGGATAGTGATAAAAAATAGGTCAACACAAATAAAGTTGTAATAATAATAAATTATTTTGACCATTTAATATGTACAAATACACAGTAACACAAATAATACAAAATAGTTTGTTACACACTAGCTATCAGCCCCGGCAAAATATGGGTGTACATGTATTATACACATAAACCTTCCTCTTGAATTGCAATCTTTTACTAAAAGCTGCAGTAAAATCTGCTGCATATTTTAAAAGATTGAAGAGAACAGATAGCGGAAGGAACTTAATGATTACGCAATACATTAAGGTTATGGGCCTTATCCTTATAAGATTATATACAGTGTACAAAACCAGCTTTTGTGTGCAACTGTAACCTCAAATATTTTTTTTTTAGCATTTTTTTAATTTTATATTTGTGCACAATTGTAGTGAAACTCAAAATTGTTTATTCATATATGAAACTTTCAATTGATTATGTATGTACATTTTTTATAAGAACTCCTACAGTTAATGAAACTGACTTAGGTATAACACTAAATTCTAAGGAGAACTCCAAAATGTATCATATGTTCTCAGCAATTAAAATGTAGAAAGGATTTCACTTAAAATTCACTTGGTTGCCAATTTAGTTGAATAATTATGCAACATTTGAACAGGTACTGACATGTACAGGGCCATAGTTCTAAAGTATCTTTTGATGTCTAATTGTAATAATTTAAAACTTTTTAAATTGACGGTAAGTAATTTAAATGCTATTTTTACATTTCGCGGTCCTGTAAGTTCAAAGATATCTAAATAGTGACGATTTTTCTCAGAAAATGACTTAGTACTTAGTCACAGAGCGAATTCCCACAACTTTCTACCGAGTATATTAAGTACATTATTGTATGTCAGAACGAAGTTTCACGTACATAAAAGGTAGACGACTCGTTGATTATGCAAATATAACCAAGCAAACAAGAATTTCGCTACGATGACACTGGTTGACCCAAAAAGAAATTATTAATCTACCTAAATTAGGTTATGTTCGTTCGAACAGTTTTATCTAATAAAGACACGGTAATTGTAATAGTTTTAGTAAAATTGCCATTTAACACTTACCCGGATGCTTCCGTGGTGGTTTTTTTCTTTAAAACAACCTTATGAGTCGTGAATTTTTATTTTACACTTCATACGACAAATTTAAAGAAAATTTGACAGAACACTGACTGTTACAAAAAAGATGGGCGCTAGAGCGCAGAATTACGTCATGCGCGGGAAAATCGAAACGACAATTTTACTTTTTATTTTCGCAATGTTACAGGCTATAACGGAGAAATTTAAATAAAATTATGAACTTACCTCATAAAGATTAGTAACTGTGAAAATGACGGGTAGTTTCCAATTAGTTTTGCTAATACATCAGAAACTTCTAGTTTACTCCAACTCTGCGCGCTGTTGCCAGATTGCTATTGCGTCAGAAACTGAATATCGTTCAAATGCACACATTTCAAACAAATTGAGCATATCTTATTGCTTGTTTCACTTAAATTTCATAAAGGTATCGAATTTTTAAGATGCTTTTCTAAAAAGTTGTATTGAAATTTAATTTCTGATAATAGAAAACTTTGGTGGAAGAGCGGCAACGTCGCTTCACTTTTTACAGTTGTGAATCAAACAAAGGCTTCAGTCTGTTTTGGAATTCAATGTATATGAATTAAAATAATGAAATCACAAACTTATTACGTTTATATTAAATTATTATAATATTTATATACTATTTTATTGAACACAATCGACTTATTTCACTACCAATAAAAATGCAGTTAAAATATTTTAAATCAGTACGATTTAAACTTGTTTTTGTTTCACTCGGTCACCGTTCTTTTCGTTCTCATCGAAAAATTGTAAACAAAGGTGCAGTGTTGCCAGTCAAATAAATAAATAACTACTATTCGAAAATATGAAATTGAGTATCTTGTATTAAATATTAAAAAAAATCTTAACTACATTTTACACATTTTTCTTAATCTTATTAAAATATGAAGGTATTTTCTTCAATTTCTTTCATTTTGTTCTGGCCAAACCGAATGATAATGTTTAAGTAGTCCTTTTTTATACTATATGTTTTACGCTTTGTTGAAGCTTATAATATGCAACGAATTAGAATTTAGAAGTCATTTTAAACTAATGTTAATTAAAATCCAATACCAATTTTGTTGGATTGCAACTAATAAGTTTAAAATTCAATTTGTCCCAAGTACGTGAATAAATGTTAACACTGGCACAGACTTGGTATTAAGATCGGCCAAAGGGAACCAATTTCTTGTAAATTTGTAATTCCAATTAATGTTATATTATATTATTTTTTGCGTCCTTCGGCTTTGGTTTTCTTATCTAGCTTTCACATTCAACAAGTGGTGTATAGATTTTTAAAAATCCAATTACAGATCTTGTATGTATAATATTATAGGCACATAGGTATACTACACATATTATATATTTGCTGCATATTCTAGTATTTATTTGTAGTTTTAGTTATATATAGGTTAACTATTTATTTAGGTTTAAACGATTGTATGGACACAGAAACTACAACGAAATTACATCGCCATTTCAACCAGTCTTCAAACTTCAAAAGTCATAACTTCTTTTTGAAGCTGTGATATGCCAATAAAATTACAGGTTACAGTGATATCCTAGTCCTCCCGATTGGCAGCTCATGAGAGTCATGACACTCTTCCCATATATAGACAATTGCCACTTATCAAGAGTACAGATTGTCGGACATTTCTGCAACATAAAAAATTGCGTATTCCATCTGCAGAGATATAATTAAACTAGGGTCGGCAACGAGCGCATGACACCCCTGGTTTCTCAGGCGTCCATAGGCTACGGTAATCATGTACCTTCAAATGGGCTGTATACTTGTTTAGGCTACTGTAATAGTATAAAAGACTATACTAAAATTGTCCATTTACAAATTATAAATCGGTACTAAATCAAACTTCTAAGTGTTTGAATGTTTAGTCGTGTACTTTAAAATAAAAAGTAAAATATGTAATAAAAAACTCTATTATAAAGAAAAAATATTTATTCTAGAAATTATTACGCAAACGAAAAGAAAAATACTTATCTATTATATAAAGAAAACCATTAACAAAAGTTCAATAACATACACATAATATGGTAAGAAATATATACATTGCAATAAAAAATGTAGTTTTTAAATATTCTAAAAATATTAGCTATAAAGAAATACACTGTAATACTACAAATAGTTTTAATAAAAAAATACTACTAAATTACAATACTTTGTGATGCACTGCCAACACATTTATCGGCGCGAATATGGCGCGAACTGTAACGGCTACTCGCGAATATTTTACCCGCGCGTTTTTAAACGTACTATTTTTCTACTTAAAGTTAAGAGAATGCACTAGTACCATTACTGCTTATTAATACGCCTTAAACTCGACAGGCATATCAAAACAAAAAATACCTTTATTCATGTAGGTCTATTACACTCTTATGATATGTCAAATCTACAGTATGGTCGTAAAACTCCGTTATTATTCTTATCAAATGAGTTTGTAGATATTTACAAAAACACAGATTTAGTATCAAATTCAAATTAGGGCCAATAGAGTGACCACCAGCATATGGTATTGCAATTTTGTCAAAAGAAAATAAATAATAAGTCTAATCAGTGTCTCTAACCCATACAGACCAGTGCCTAAAAGCAGCACCTGTTCACGAGTATGACGGATAAACCAGCCATCATTGCACTATATTATTGGTTATAGACTATACTATAATGAGTGGTTATACAAACTATATTCTATTACTCAATACAAGAACTTTTCAAGGCTACAAAATCCTAAGATTTTTTTAAAATTATTCACATAGGTACTTCAGTCTTACCTTATTATAGAATTTATTGACAAGCCCCACCTCAACGTATTTCATTAGCTAAGGATCATTACATCTACATAATATCAAATAAACCCCAGGTCCCATACTAAAATAAATTCATTCAGTCTTGGGAACTAGTTTAAAAAAGTTCTGTATAGAAGTCTGTTTCATATGGTCTGGCGTTTTTTCTTGTTTTTTCCTTTTCCTTTTAACCGGTGTTATGTCATGCACGGGTTTTTCCAGCACTTCTTTACTGGACCCTTCTTTGTAATTAAGAACATACTGCTTCAAACTCTTTGGACTTATTTTTTCCTTCCTTTTTTTTGAATCGCTTATCTTCAATTTGAAATACTGTTTCCTCCACCGTATTTTCACTCTGATATTTTTGTTATTAATAGACAATTTTGTTGACTTTTTAATTTTCTTCTTACGTCTCTCAGAGGCCAGTGACACTTTCAAATTACTGTTATCGTTGGACAGTTCAATATCAGCGTCTCTCTCTTTATATTTAAGGTTGCACTCCACATACTTGTCTTTCGAAACCTTTTTTCTTTTCATGCTTTTTCTTTTAGTCTGCAATTTTCTTTTTCTATTCGCCTCTAACGCGAAATCTATAGGTGTTCTCAATTTTCTATCACTATTATCTATATCCGAGTGATTATGTTTAAATTTACACTTAAAATCTCTTCCTACCTCATTCAAATATTGATTTTTAAAGCTTTCCACGTCTATATCAACATTAGCCGTTTGCAATGACTCTTTATCTATAGGACTGAATTTAAACGCGCACTTTTTGGTTTTTTCTGGGCTTTTTATGTTTAAATTCTTGATGAAATCAAAATTGGGACTGCTGTCTTCCATTTTAATTACATCAATGTTAACGACCTCGTTGTTTTCAGATATTTCAAGGCTCGAATCCTTTTGTATGTCAACAGTTTTTGTCTCGAGTTTGGGCGTTTGGAGACTGTCATCACTGTTGTGGTCAGCAATGAACTCTGGTGGCAATTGGAAGGTGGAACTGGATGAGTCGTCAACGTTTAGACATTCGGGTTTCGTTGGAGTTGTAATACCATCTTGGGTGTCTTCCTCGATGGTTATTGGTGGTACCTTCTTTGGAGTGGTTTTCGTTGGTGTTTTTTCTAGATTGAACTCCAATTTGAATGGCGAAGTATTTTCTTGTTCAACCTGTAAAATGAAAAAGTGTGATGTTATTTAGAAATCTTTAGTAATATTATAAATGCCATTTCACACCAGAACTATTGCAGTTCTTACACACTTTGGTACACAGATAGTCTAGACCCTTAGAAAGGACGTAGGCTACTTTTTAATGCGGAATAAGGGTTGAAAGGGGTTATGAAAGGTTGTTTGAAAGTATCGTCATTTTTAAAGTCAAGTTTCCGCACTGAATATTTGTGGTCTCACACATGCTAATTGTAGCGGAATTAAACAAAATAATATAAATACATTAAGTAGTGATTGTACTGGTCATTACCTTAACATTATCACATGTGACATCGGTCAGCTTCTTTGGCGAGCACCATTCCTTTACAGGCTCCTTGTTCTTGGCATCTTTTATTGGTGCACTTAAGATATTCTCGATGATGTCTCTATGAATAATATATAATACTTTGTATATAATACAATATATATACTTTACATAATACTTGCACAGATTATTATTATATATTAGAGCCCGTTAGTTTCTGTCACCCGCTTTTTTCCCTTACCTATGATAGTACGGACCGCCTTGTCTTGCGCGGGCATACTCTAATTATATTAAAATTTTAATTACAAACTGAGTGCAAAAGTGAGTGAATTCAAGTGAAATATCATGTGGCCCGTGGAGCATCTATGTATATGACAGACGCTTCCACAATATAGTATTTCCCTTATTTTTTATTTTTCAAACTACTCTAATGCTGTTGGCCGCAGCTGGCCTTTACAGCTTCACCGGACGATAGGGGCGGGTGCAGATGGCACCGCTAGGGTTTGAAACCTCGCGTCAAGTCGTCGTAATTGCGAAAGCCGTTTGAATTGGACAGTGGATCGATTGGTTTTTATACAATCGGAATGACTATGGTGTTTTAAGTGTTAAATATTTTATTATAAGAACTAATTTGTGCAAATCAGGAATTGAATGGTGAACAAGCTGACGGCTTATGTGATGGTAAGTGGTAATTGTAATATACATGAATAGCACTATGTACCTACCGTAACACACCCAGCAATAACCGTACCCTATATAAATACATATACTCAGGGGCGGGTCGTGAATTTGGGGATCCTGGGCTTAATCTATTTAGGGGCCTGCGTAATTATATTACTCAACTAAAAAAATACACCGACCAGAAATTCCCCGTTCCTTTCGACAGACCCATGCTTGCATGGGTTGATTGATCTCAGGGTCGCCAACCTTATCATAGGTTTTTTAACATTCTAGACATTTTTTTTATATTCTAAATATCGTTTCAGTGTGGCCCTTTGTATTCTCGGGGCATTGTGTTGCAGCCCAAACAGCCCTTAGGTAGATCCGCCCCTGCATTTACTTGTATATTCAAATTCAAAATATTTTTATTTGTGTAGGTCTATTACATACTATGATATGTCAAATCTACCGTCAGTTCGGAATATTAAAGGCTAAGACGGAGAATAGAGTCCAATTTACATTATTACTAAGTATTTAAATGAACCGCGCTCGGACATCACGTTATCATGTGATACCCGTGATACCACTCATGCGTCACCATTCCAGAGTACTAAGATGTCATGCCTCTTATCCTATAATTTCATTGCCTAATCTGCGGTTTTTACAAAGCAAATGGTTGGCAACTGAAATAGGTGAGACTGAGGCATCCATGCTCTCATCTTTCACACATCCATGTTTTTTTTGGCCTTGCTTTGCTATTTATTTATTTATTTACATATATTTGTGTATAAATAAATTTCTACTAACATAACGATCCTTTTTTTAACACAGAGGGGCTTTGGCTTTTTAAACTTGAGTCGCACGGTGTCCAACAGCGCAGCATCTATTACTATATCAGATTGTCTGGTGACTTCTTTGAGACTGTACTCTAGCAATTTCCCGGGCGATTTGATACCAATATTCTTGAGTACTGTCGCCTCGACCAGCCGCCGCCTGGGGGCTTTGAGATTCAATTCTTGACGGCTCGACGCTGTGTCCCTTTTTGAGTCTGTGAATAATAATATCTCAGGTCAATTCACACAACGCCATCTAGTCCGAAGCTAAGCAGAGCTTGTTATGTGTACTAGACACCTGATAGAATATTTAGATACATTTTTTTATACTTATACTTACTTAGAAACATAATAATTATAATAATTCCCATGAATACTATTGTACCGTGCAATAAATCGAACTTGTGACCATCGCAAGTAAAGTGGTGTGTTGAACCACTAGTCCGCCAAATGAAAAGACAATAGATCAATATTTTTTATATGTAGACACATTACAATATACATAAAAATTATAAAAACCTTTGACATCAATTTCAGTTTTAATTTCAGCGGTATCTTTAGATGTCGAACTGCAACCTCTGGAACAATTATAATATTACATACACCATACGTATATACTAGTTGATCCCGCAAACGTTTTTTTTTTAAAGTAGGGGTTGATAGTAAAAGGGTGAAAATTTAAGGGTTAAATTTTATAAATCGTATCTAGGGTTCATGATTTCTCGACCTTTTCAATTTCTCGGGTCTCGAGAATTCTCGAGGTCAATTTCTCGGGTCTTCTCGGGTTGTCGAGAAATTTACATTTACGTACGTTTTCTCATATTATTTGGTTCCAATAACGTCAAAAATTCAGTGATTATCCTCTCAAATAAAAGTATCAAATTAAACTTTTATTGAGTATATTTAAAAACATTAATATTATGAATAAATTATTTTTTTTTAAATACAGAAATAATATTAGGTCCTTACATATGAAATTGGCGTTTTGTCGTACTGGCCACTTTGATCTCAAATATCTCCTCTTTTTTAGGAATTCCATTTCCAAATTTATACAGCTATTCACTTTGGGTCACTCATCTACTCGTTGTACACCAACGACATCCCTAAATTCTCCGACTTAAAAGTCGAAATATCGCTGTTTGCCGATGACACGGCTCTCTTTACATCCGCCAAGTCCCGTGCGACAATAGCCAGACGGCTTCAGAAAGCCCTAACGATACTGGGCGAATGGTTCCGTCGGTGGCGCATAGAAGTCAATCCCGAAAAAAGTGCAGCAGTGTACTTTAGCAGGGAATTCGACTCTATGAATCACCCGATCGAACTATTCGGCCAAAACATCCCGTGGGTTTCGAAAACGAAATACCTCGGCGTCACCCTAGATAGGAAACTAACGTTTCGTCCTCACATCAAGCATGTCCGCGACCGAGCCGCCTTTATACTAGGGCGACTCTATCCTTTTATTAACAAGCACAGTAAAATGTCGCTTCGCAACAAGCTGACACTATACAAGGCTTGCATCCGTCCCATCATGACTTACGCTAGTCTCGTATTCGCCCACATACCCTACTGTTTAATCAACCGACTACAAATCATACAGAATAGGTTTCTGCGTCGAGCCACCGGTGCGCCGTGGTTCGTTCGCAGCGTAGACCTCCACCGCGATCTTAATCTGCCCTCCATCAAGCAGTTTATGAAGGAAGCGTCCCGACGCTACTTCGACTCTGCCCAATCCCACCCTAACACGCTTATAGTCAGTGCGGTCAACTACGCACCAAGGAGTAATATCAGACATACGCGACAACGTCGCCCGAGGCACGTTCTCATTGACTCCGACGACCCCATAACGGCAGGTAACCTCTCCACGGGCCCACCCGTTCTACTCCGACCACACTTTTACACATACACACGACACCGTCCTCACCGGCGAAGACGACGACCTCAAACACACAATATCGCGCATACCGGGCGCCTGTGCGCTCCACACCGGCGCCCCTTCGATCGATCCCCCGTCCAATTCAAACGGGGATCGAAATTACAACGGCCCGAGCCGAGATTCGAACCCCTAGTGGTGCCCTCAGACTAAAGTCGTATCCGTCAGGCAGGAGTTGGCCTTCAGCCGCTCCATAAGTCCTTCCGCGGGTTTGGAGTACCATCTGCACTCGCCTCCTAACGTCCGGTGAAGCTGTAAAGGCCAGCTACGGCCAACACCATCAGAGTAGTCCGAAAAAAAAAATGCAAAGCAATCTCGGTGGGCGGCCGGAATCCAAGGTTGATAATGAAGAATTGAAGGCTATTGTGGAAGCGGATCCATCGCAAACCCGTCCGAGTTAGCTGCAGGCTGCGGTGTTAGTGACAAAACTGTTTTAATCCTTTAGCAAATTGGGAAGGTGAAAAAGCTTGAAAAGTGGGTCCCTCAAGAATTCAATGGAGTAAATCGACAAACGCGCGTAGCTTGCTGCGTTACATTAGTCAACCGGCATAATAATGAAGGGATTTTAAATAAAATCATTTCCTGTGATGGAAAGTAGATCTTGTACGATAATCGGAAACGCTCATTGCAATGGCTAAACCCTGGCGAACCAACCAAATCCTGCTCCACGCGAAAATTGGCTCAAAAAATGTTACTTGTGAACGTTTGGTGGACTATTTCCGGTGTTGTTCACTTCGGCAATGTGTATTGTCAGCAATTGAGAAACCATGATGGAAAAGTTAGCTGCTAAACAACCGAGGCTGGTCAAACGCCAAGAACGCTTGACCACATACTGCACAACAGACAGTTACCAAATTAGAAGAGCTTCAGTTGGAATGTCTAAGACAACCACCGTACTTCCCGGACCTTGCTCCAACAGATTACCATTTTTTTCAAAATTTACTAAGTAATTTTAATAACTTCTTGCAAGGGGAAAAAATTAAACTCCGATGGGGCAGTCCAAAGTACAAAAACAAAAGGCAAAAGTGCATAAATAGAAATGGTACCTATGTACCTAGATTAAATAAATATATTATATTTTGAAAAAAAAATACTTCAGGTTATTCCCTTACAAAACGCCAATTTAAAATTTTCAGGACCTAATTGTTCTTATAATTAGACTTATTTATAATGACATATATTATATATTTATAATGACAGCACCATTTTTGGCTGCTTATTTAGAAAATAAAAACAACGTAAACAAAAATAGTTACTACAAAATAAAAAAATAACATGAAAGAAAACAAAAACGTTAATATCTTAAATTATTGCGCCGCCACGCAACAAAACAAAGGGCAATTAAATTTCTATATAGGTACATGATTTCTCGAGTTCTCGACTTTTCTCGAGCTTGATTTCCCGGGAACAAAACCCATGAATTTCCCGGGAATTCTCGAACCGAGAATTCCCGGGAATGAACCCTAATCGTATCCGTCAGGCGGGAGCTGGCCTTCAGCCGCTCCGTAAGTCCTTTTGGTTTGTAATGACATCTGCACTCGCCCCTATCGCCTGGTGAATCTGTAAAGGCCAGCTGCGGCCAACAGCATTAGAGTAGTCCGAAAAAAAGTCTACGGTATTGCATCTTTTGCTTTTTTTATTATAAGAAATGGTAAACAATTTAACAAACCACATTTATATATACATGGACAACTCCTGTGTTTTGTTCCGGAGCAAATCCGTAATCTGTAATTTTACTGCGTTATACTCACTCTTGAAACAAAACAACTTACAAAGCAAGTTACAGGATTAGAGAAGTCCGAAAAAAAATTCTACAAAGGACATCAAATATATAATTATACTTACGCCCGTACGCCTTTGGTCCTCCGAAGTGACATTCTGGATCGCATGAGAGGCCGGGGCAGGTTAGCTGGTACAGGTGCCCGCTCCGACAATACCACTGTACAAATAATACAGACTTACATTACCTAGGACAATTAACACAGCGCCATCTAGTTCCACGCTATTTGCCACGCAGAGCTTGTGTTATGGATACTAGACAACTGATACAAATACTTAGATTTTTTTTTGTAAATACATACATAATAGAAAACACCCAGACCGATGTTGGCACCGTGCGAGGAATCGTACCCGCGGCCATCGGAAGTATGTGCTAAACCGCTAACGGTTTACGCTGGCGGAACACTAGTGGAGGATGATAAGATGAACATGAGGTCAGGTCAGTTAGCCCATCGTGACAAATTGACTTGGAATTTATCACGATGGTTTCCAGGGGAACCGCGTCGAGGTCAACATTACATGGTACATTGCTATCAATGGGATGAAGAGTCCGCATTACTAACAATCTCCTTCCCTCCAATAACTCCAGTTAGCGCAGCCAACTAGGCTTACCATTAAAATTATGCATGTAACTTATAACTAATCCTGAATAATGTTTAGATTATATATATTTAAGTTTGTTATTGACAATTTTTATGTTTACTTTGTTAGTTGTAGTTTAAAACTTAATATGCTATCGTCGTCGTCGATCTCACATTGTATTTTACTGATAAAGGCTATAACAGAATAGCAGAGAGGGTGCACTCACTGCCCTCACTGAGTTATCGACCGTTTTGTCTCATTAATTAGTTTTAAATTATATTATTGTATGGGCAACAGTTGTATTGTGTGAAAAGTTTTTGTTTGAGACAAATAAAGATTATTATTATCATGTAAATCCGTTTAACTTTATTACTAATATGTACTAAATGTGAAAGTTTAAAATATGTAATTAAATAGATTAATAATATCTCAGAGCAATTCAATACACTATTGTATTGGGTCTGCCCTGTAAGTGGTTTCGGACAGTGCGGTTTCAGAGGAGCTACCTCCTATGTACAAGGCAGGTAGTTCTTTTTTCATGAGATTACAGCATGGGGTTTTTCAAGAAGGGTATAGTCAGGTTTCTTAAGGGTTAGCAACGCGCAATTGGCACCCCTGGTGTCATGTGCCATATCCTGTAATTCAACTGTCCAATCTAACCATACAAGGCTCATTACTATGACCGTATACCTGCTGCTATATTGTTGGCCAATTGATCCAGATCCGCAGGAGCGGCTGGTCTGCATACTCGGCACACGTATCGCTCCGGGTGGACCCTGGTACCACTAGTAAAGTCATTACTCCTCCCAGTAGAGTCCAAACGCCTCCCAGTAGAGACTGAACTCCCAGCAATGTCTGAAGTTTTCCCAATAGAGTCCGAAATAATCCCAGTAGAGTCCAAACTATTTCCAGCAGAGTCCGAACTCCTCCCATTGGAGTCCACATTCACCCCAGTGGAGTCAGCATCGCAATCCAAGTTGAGGCAATGTAGATGTATGCCGCTGCTGCCGCATAGGATGCATAGTATTATATCCCAAGGCCTAGAATGCAATATTTTTGTATGTTTTATACACATTATAATACAAAGTCCCGGGGGAAGGGGATTGTTAGTAATGTAGACTCTCGACCCCATTTTTTTTTAATGATTGATAATGGAAATGTGTACCCGCCTGCGCTAACGGTATACGCTGGCGGGGCACCAGTGGAGGGTGATAAGATGAGCATGAGGTCAGGTCAGTTAGCTCATCATAACAAATTCAACAATAATTTATCACGATGGTTTCCAGGGGGAACCGCGTCGAGGTCAACCTGACATGGTACATTGCTAGCAATGAGATCATCAGTCCACATTACTAACAATCCTCTTTCCCCCCTCACGACCCCATTGCTAGCATAGTATTATATCCCAAGACCTAGAATGCAATATTTTTGTATGTTTCATACACATTATAATACAAAGTCCCGGTGGGAAGGGGATTGTTGGTAATGTTGATTGATAACCCCATTGCTAGCAATGTACCATGTCAGGTTGAGCTCCACGCGGTTCTCCCTGGTAACCATAGTGATAAATTATTGTTGAATTTGTTATGATGGGCTAACTGACCTGAACCTCATGCTCATCTTATCATCCTCCACTGGTGCCCCGCCAGCGTAAACCGTTAACGCAGGCGGGTGTACCATTCCATTATCATCCACAAAAAAAAATACAAAGTCTCTGCCGCGTCTGTTGTATGTTAGCGATAATAGAAATATCATTTAGTACTAACTGTGCACACGTGTGCGGCGTGTATTTTATAGCCTATATTATTACTATTATTCTGATATATAAGCTATAGTTTTTGCGTGAGAGTAACAAACATCCATACTCACAAACTTTAGTATTTATAACAGTACTAGCTGTGCCCACGATTTCATCCGCATGAAATTTATAGCGTAAATGTTATTCTGACGTATAAACTATATTACTGTAAAGTTTTATCAAAATCCATTCAGTAGTTTCTATACTCACAAATTTTCGCGTTTATAATATTAATAAGATTTAAAAAAATTATTTGTATCAGTTGTCTAGTACCCATAACACAAGCTCTGTTTACCGTGGGACTAGATGGCGCTGTGTTAACTGTCCAGGGTTATTTATTTATTATAAGTATACAGACCCGTCGCTATCGTGGAGTCGGCCGCGGCGACAGTAACAGCTGACAGCGTCGCAGGCGGCCTCCCGCTCGTATATCTCAGCGAATGCGTTCTGCTCCAGCTCCCACGCAGCATCCCTGTGTATATCATCTTAATATTTATTTACGCAAAAACTATAAAATAGAATAGAAATGCATAGCTTGGGATTAGATGGCGCATTGTAAATTGTTCAGTGTATTATTATAATATACTAGCTGTATACGCGACTTCGTCCGCGTGGAATTTAACCTTATTTTTCTAATATAAAAGTAGCCTAAGTTACTCCTTATTACATCAGCTACCTGCTATAAGTCCCGTTAAAATAGTCCAGTCATTTCAGAGATTAGCCGGAACAAAAAGACAGATAGACAAAAATAGTAAAATATGTTATTTTGTTGTATGTATTTGTGATGATGCGGTCTAAGCTGTTAAACGCAAGCTTAGTTTACAAGAAAGTTTTTGCATGAAAGAGTAACAAACATCAATACTTACAAACTTTCGCGTTTTTAATATTATTATTAAGATACATGTTACCAAATTGTGTGTATTGTGAATATCTATATATATATATATATGTACGTGTGTTATATGTGTATATATGTATCAAAATGGTTGTCAATAAATGTTTTTATTTCTTTCTTTCAAACTGCGAGTTCATTACATTAGCAATAGACAATTCTACTCACCGATCTGGTACATAATATCCTTGACCAACGACCGCCTTGTAGAAATCATCCTTGTCATTGCACAGCGGACACTTCAAGTAGTGCATGCCGGCACTGAGCGCCATTCTCTGTAAAAAAAAGAAATCAAATCTAATCAAAAATTATTTATTCATGTCGGACATTTTAGCCGCTTATGAACGTCAAATCTTTTGTATTAATATTTTTTTCATACCGTCCAGTTCAGTATACAGATGCAATTGAGAAGAACTGGCGAGACACTACTTTCTTTTTTTAAAGCAAGTTTATTTACTACTCTCAGCTGGAAAGCACTCCAAACTAACGGTAAATTTGACATACCATGAGAGTCTGTACTTAGATCTACATAAATAAAGATATTTTGATTTAATTTGATGCCAAATGTTTTTAATATATTAAATCTGGACAATACCTGTAAGCATGTTCTATGAAACCAGGCATCTCGAGCACAGCACGGCGGCCAGAAAGTCTCCGTGCTTGGATAGCCATCCACTTCTTCGTAGCATATCACACATACCGTTTCTGTGAATACAGTTTCATAATCATATTGTATATAACAATTTAATATATATTATTTTGGTTAATTCCGCTATATATTTTTTATAACCCTGGACTATTAACACAGCGCCATCTAGTTCCATGGTAAGCATAGCTTGTGTTATAGGTACAGACAACTAATATCAATACAGTTTTTTTTTGTAAATACATACATAATATACATAGAAAACACCCAGAGAGGGGGGAAGGGTATTGTTAGTAATGTGGGCTGTTGACCCCATTGTAAGCAAAGTATCATGTCAGGATGACCTCCATGCGATTCCCCCTGGAAACCATCGTGATAACCTCCTGGTGAATTTGTCACGATGGGCTAACTGACTTGACGTCATGCTCATTTTATCACCCTCCATTGGTGCCCCGCCAGCGTAAACCGTTAGCGCAGGCGGATGCATCATTCCATTATCATACCGTAAAAAAAAACACCCAGACCGATACAAACAGTCATACTCATGAATAAAAATATTTGCATCGAAATGCGAGCGAACCCGCTACCATCGGAAGTAAAGCGATATGCCAAACAGCTAGACTACCGAGACAATTGCAATTTCCCATCAACTTGTTCACCATTACAATTGCATAAAACAAAAGTATATTCAATCCCACCTTCAGAAATGCTGACGTCAGCATTAGATTTGTCTGATATAGCAGTCTGCTCCTTATTTTTAGACTTCTTCATCCGCATCTTAGCATTGACCATTATATTGGCAGCGACACTTTGTTTTGGCGCATGAATCTGGCAGTATGATCTGAATAGAAAAGACTTAATATAATAATAGTAACTACTTCTTAGGGCAACTTACACAGCGCCATCTAGTCCTAAACTAAGAAGAGCTTGTGTTATGGATACTACACAACTGATATAAATATGTTTTTGTTTGTAAATACATACTTTTCTATGTATAATAGAAATACTAAGTAAGTGCCAGACGTTTAATTCTTGTTGTCATAAAATTTGTAATTGTCAGTCTTTGGTCTATTAAGCATTCCATAAATTAAGTCTCATAAATACATACTTTATATACATAGAAATACTAAACATTTTTCCATATTTCCATTTGCAAAAAAAGCATTGATTTTGAAATTCACGATATATTTTTTAATCTATTACTTTAGCTAGCTTTTAACATAATTTTTCGATATATGCTGCTTAACTAGATGTTTAATTCAAGTTTTTTTTTTATTTTTTCTTTTTAAATTTAGGGACTTTTGTACCATCTAAGTACATGTCAGTCCCATTGTACCGTAAAACCAATCACTCCATTACCTACCAGTGAACAAATTGCCTTAGCCGCACCGCCCGAAGGATCGGCTAAAACAGTTTGTATGGCACCAACATCAAATATATTTATTTTATGGTCTAACGTTACTCCATGTCGTAGACTCTCGTTCCTGACACACTCCATCAGCAAATGATATACATCATCTATTGTTTAATTCTTGTTGCCACAAAATTTGTAATTGTCAGTCTTGGGTATATTAACATGCATTCCATAAATTAAGTCGCGGGGGATGAGGTATGGCAGAAATGTGGGGTCATCAGTAGGGTACCATGTCAGTTTGACCTCCACTCCATGTGGGACCTTGATAAATTCCTGGTAAATTTGTCACGATGAACTAGCTGACCTGACCTCATGTTCATCTTATTATCCTCCACTGGTGTCCCGCTAATGTAAATGGTTAACGCAGACGGGTGGACCAATCCAAATTTGAATGAAAATACAAAAACATACTTGTAAGTCCCAAAAAACAGAGAGACAGCATTCTTCCGCCTTCCGCATGGCAAATGGAACTGCTTCCGGCATTGGCCGACTGAACACCCCAGGGTAGCACCATCGCGACCACAGTAGGAGCATTTCTGTGGAAATTTTTTTTTTTGTTATAAAAATAGATATAGAGTACTAAGTTTTAGTTTTTACCTTCTTTTTTTGTTTACAAATTATTATTATTTTCTATGAATAAAAAAAATATATATATGTTATTAAATTACATTCATTTTCAGCCATTTCGAAGGGGTATGGTAACTAACATTTTAACATGAGAATTTTATACATGAGATATATTCTAACAAGTCCTTACATGTTTTTTGCTGCGCTCTAATTCAGCCAATATGTCTGGGTACAAGAACCCAAACAGTCCCTCCTCATCTTTGCCTTTTTGCATCAGACAACATGACAGCAACTGTAAAACATTTTTTAATATAACAGATCATAATCTCAGGGCAATTCATATAGCACCATCTAAACCCAAGTTACGCTAGCTAAGCTTATATATAAGTATGATATCACTATACAATACACACCACCTAGTCCCAAGCTAAGCATAGCTTGTGTTATAGGTGCTCAGCAACTTAGTAAGATAAATAGATATAATGGCAATTTTAAATTAAATGTAGGTGGGGATTGTTAGTAATGGGAACTAGTAACTCCCATTGTGATAAATTCTTGGTGAATTTGTCACGATGGGCTAACTGACCTGACCTCATGCTCATCCTATCATCCTCACCGTTACCGCAAGCGGGTGTATCATACACAAAAAAAAAACTTAAATGTAGGAATACTGGGTGAAACTGAATAACATTTACAAAGAAGAAGTGGAAAATTGATACACAAATTTTGATATTGTTTTTCAGTTCAAGTTATAATAAAACTGTGCTATCATACAACTTAATAACGAAAATTCACAGATTACGTTAAAATTTCTAGTTTACTTACTATTTTGTAAGTTATTCAATTACATTAGTTATGTACATAGCTATGTTTGGTATATCCTGTGCAAATAACCCTGCTTTTATTGTAGATTTTATTTGGATGACAATCACTTACATATTAAATAAACACTATGGCTTCAGTGGTATATTTATAAGATCACTAAAGTAATTTTAAATAATAATTGTTTTAATTCAACTAAGTTAAACTTTATTGAAGGAAAGAAACTAGTACAAAAATTTACTTACAACACAGAAGTAGTGGCATTTTATACCGCCAATGATGTATAACTTGCCATAAATTAACTCGTCGTCCACATTTTCGTGGCAAAATGCACAGGGCCCTTTTTCTTTAGTGACTAATTTAGCTAATAACTTAGTTTTACGTGTTGTACTTTTCTTGGTAGACATATTTATATAAATAACTCTAATAACAGTATAAATATAATTAAAAAATATTTATGCTATTGGCACATTCATTATTGCAGTAAATATTAGTAAAATAACAGAGTTACTTGCAAGATTCTATAATATAAATTAACATTTCACAAATTAATTAATCTTGTACAACGTCAAAACAAAAAACTGAGATTTGGCGGGAGTAATTTATTTTTTTAACTTTATTTTTAATATGATATAAAAGCTAAAGAACATTAAAATACAGTTATCCTCCCATAGACAATTACAGAAGTCAAATTCCAAGACAATGTATGGATGCTTGGTAGAAGATATAACAAAGTTAGAACTACTTACCAATGCATTCTCTCTCTGCCTAGTACTCTGTCAAATGTGTTCAGTGCATGTATTCACAGTTTAATCAAAGAGACAATTGTATATAGTTATGACAAATATTAAAAAATATAGTTTAATAACAATAACTTGCATATTTGTCAATATTTATATTTTATTGTATGTTAAATAAAATCGAAAAAGTGAATTTCACACAATTTATTAGCGAATTTGAATAGTTGAATAGTTCAATGCCATTGTCTATGGTAAAAGAAATTTAAAAATATGAATTATGTGAGCAATTAATGAAGCAACACTCATTTGTAAATGTCAAAAAATCCAAAAAAGCCGCAAAGGCGACATTAGTTTTAATTTATTTTTATTGTTATTTGTTTAATTATTGTTAAAAATCAATTTAGAGAGTGTGCTACAACCGTAATTTTATCTAGTCTTAGATAGATCTATAGTAATTCGCCCACAACCCAAAGCGTTGACTTTTATCGTGCCATAAATATGTTGATTGATTATCCTTTGTTTTGAAAATAGTGGGATTTCGACACTTTCAATTGGAAAACAACTAGAAATCTAATAACAAATGCCGTGTAAGTGCACATTTTAATGAGTAGTGTCCTGAAAGTACTTATTTCTGCTACATTTAGTGATAAATTGGCAATGGGCACTTGGTGAATTTCGCAATTCTTACTGACTGATACAATTTCGTCGTTTCGCCTCGGATATGGCTGTATTGCTTAACAACGGTCGTGAAACGCGCCAACAACCGGTAAACACGAGGAAAATGCATTCAAATATAGAATAAAGTATAATATTATCGTAAAATGTCCACGATTGAAAACAGTCAAGGTATTTGGTCTGTGGCAAATGAAAATATTGATTCTAAATACGAAAAATGCCGTCATATCACTGAAGAGATATATAAAAGGATTAATATAACGTTTGAAATTAAAAAGCTGGAGACTGAAGTCCAAAGTGATGTCTCTGAACAGAGGTATATCATTCATTTATTTACAGTATCTAAATATTATATGTTCATCTGGCAACAATGCAAAGATCCACAAGGTCATCTGCATGGATACCTCGGTATATCACGGGCACACTGCCTTACTTCCAATGGTAGTGGGTTCTATTCCTCATAGTACAAACAATGACTGTCTGTTGGTATCATCTCAGTATTTTTATGTATTTTTTTTTAATATTAATTTCCTTATAATTACAATTTTTAAATTATCAATGTATATTATGTATGATTTACAAAAAAATTGTATCTTTGTATTTATATCAGTTGTCTAGTACCCATAACTCTGCTTAGTTTAGGACTAATTGGTGCTGTGTGAGTTGTCCTGAGCTATTATTATCTTAATGATATTATAAAGGTGATAGTTTGTGAATATGGATGTTTGTTACTCTTTCACACAAAAACTACTAAACAGATTTTGAAATTTTCAGTAATATAGCTTATGCATCAGAACAACATATAGGGTACATTTTTATTGAAATTTAACACCTGTAGGTGTAGGTGTAACCTAGCACAGTTTGTATTTCATAATTAAGTTTTATATTATTCTTTATCGAAATATCTACAGCGACCAAATAGACAGCAACGAATTGAGCAACGAAACAGACCTGTTTGCTTGTGACAAAAGTGATACACTTTCAAGCAGCACCGAGGCAGAGAAACCAACAGCAACCTGTGAGAAGTACATCAACATTAACAACAATGAGGAAATGAATAAGAAAGCGATAGTAGTGTGCAAGAGGCCAAGGAAAAAGTAAGATTCTCTCTCTCTGTCCAACTCATTTTCCAGCTGGAGTTGGGTCTCCTTGTACATCTTTGCCAGAGAATTCTGCTCTGGGTTTTATGTGTAGTATTTTTTATTGGGTTGTTTGGGCTATTATCAGATGCTTGGAGCTGTAGCACTGTGATCTACATAGATCTATTGCTTGCCCTTTTATTATTAATATTAATTTATATTTAATAATTTATTTAATTGAATGAAGGTTTCATTATCAATATATATAAAAAATATGATAGTCCTATTGAGAACAATGGAATGCTAAGAAAGGTTCAGTCAACCTTTCTTAGCATTCCATTGTTCTCAAGTAGAGAATGCCTATAGCATTAAGTCTGTCTTTTGTACCATAATTTATTTATTTATTTCAGATTATATCCACCCCTAAATTTTTTTTTTATTTTAAGGCAAAATAATGTTTCCTGGTACAGCTAGTATATATATAGAGATACAGAGATATACACTTAATTCATATATCTGTGTCCACATTCAGAAGCACTGGGTCCACAATGCAAGGATATCCAGTGCCTCTGGAGCGGACAATTAGATATATTTACAACAGTTGTTAGGATGTTTGCGCTCCCCTGAATTCTAGACATCAGTAATACAGCTCTTTTATGAATTATGGCTTGAAACCCGTCTACCCGCGCAGCTGCAAACTTTGCCAATAAAGTTTAAATATACTATTATGATTATAGGTTCAGGAAACGCGTGAAGAAACGCCAACAGAAACCAGCGAGAAGTGAATCGGACGGGTCCAGTGATGAGGCACTCCCGCTGAGCAGGATGCTGGATGTGGACACCAAGAGTGCTGATGACTGCAAGAGCGAGTCACCGGACAATGTGATGGGTGTGCCTAAAATTGTAATAATTACTAAAGGTAAAGTATTTTTAATTAATGGTAATGGTATGATAAAGAATCCTATCGCACTGTTTTTTGGGTCTAATTTTTGTTTTTAAAATATGAATATGGAATGGTACACTCGTCTGTGCTAACGATTTACACTGACGGGGCACCAGTGGTTAATAGGATGAGCATGAGGTCAGGTAAGTTAGCCCATCCCAAAAAAAAATAATTCAGTTGAGTTTCTTGCCAGTAATAGAATGTATACTGAACTAGACAGTAGGGAAAAAATATTAATACAAAAAAAATTATTAATATTTTATTTTATCCATAAGCGGCTAAAATATCCTACAGGAATAAATTATTTTGGATTTGATTTGATTAGAACATTTTTTCTGTTTTAGACATGAAACCAAAAATTCAAAAATCTGATAACTCAACTAAAAAAGAAACATCCCCGATCAAACAAGACATAATTAAAAATCAAGAGCCGACAAACGAAGTCCAAACTAAAACGCCAATAGACACAGATAGTTCCATAGACATTTCAAAGACAATAGAGAAAGGGGAGATGGGAGAGAACAAAGACAAAGGGTCAGAATGGAAACACTGTAACCTGTGTAGCTTGTCATTCCGCGGCGAGAGGGGATTGAGGTATGTAGCTTTATTAATAAACTTACTTTTCAGTTTTTACCATAACCTCTTATTTCCATGAAAAATTGAAGTAAAACTTTATGGTAAATTTCATGTTTTCAAACCAGTGTCAGTTGTATTTTACAATTATTATTGTAAGGAAGTAAGTAAGTTGAGTTTTCTTGAATACTTTTGTTGTTTAATTAATTTTCTACTGTAAAAGAAAATAAAAAAAAATATATTTAAATTTAATTTAAATACTATTTCATTCTTCAATACTTTTATTTTTTAATTAATTTTTTACTCTGAAGTTGAAAAAAAAATACGAAGAGAAAATTAATATTAGTAATTTATATACATATATTTTTGAATTTTCAGGCGCCATCTGACAATGTCACACATTTTGAGCCCAGAAGAGATAGAACTCAACAAAACAGAGCAACGACACGCAAGACCTACTTAGACTGGTAAAAATGTTTTGGTCACATCTCACGAAGTCCTTATTGTGTTACTTATAAAAACCATAACTGCACAAACTCTGATTCTAATTTTTAACATTTTTACTGACAATTATTATCAATAATAATCAGTCCTTTGCATTTTAAATCTTGAAAAATAAAAAATATACTTCGAATTTCGAATTTAAATGAGATATTAAATATCTATTTAACGGAAATAAAAGTTGGATTTATCGATTCGAAATTCAAACAATATTTTTTCACTTTTTTAATGGATTCGCGAGATGTCGACGTCATTATTATTTTTGTTTTTTTATAAAAGAGATCTAAGAATACATTCTGTTAGAAACAGAAATATAATATACAATACAGTTGATCTATATAGATTCATATTTATTATAAAACAATTATTTGAGAGGTAATGGCACTATAAATGAATTCCTTCGCAATTAAAAAAAAAACTACAATGGTCGATTTAATATAATTTTAAATTATCTGTTTTTATAATATTATAAATAAATGTACAGTTGTGCCAATCATTATTTTCATATTAGTAAATGACGCATCATTTACTAATTTGAATAATAATATTTACAGTAAAATATGTCTTGTTTATGGTTTTATACAAAACCAAGATAAGTGACATCTTAAATCTCTGAACGCAACGCATGAGTCATATGATACCGTGATGTCCATGGTGTCCGTGATTCATCTATACAGTCGACTGATATCGCTTACCATAGGTAGGCCATTAGACTGTTTGCTATTCCCATTACATTAAAAAAAAACATGTATACCTTAGAACTCTTTTGTAAACAATATTTTGTTGTATTGATATTGGGAGAGTGAATGTGGAAGAAGTGTGGGTAGATTGTAATGTGGGAAGATGAAGGAGCTATTGTCGCGGTTATTGTTTGTCTCGAAATATAATAAAACCACAGATAATAACTGTGCTTTCGATTTCTGAACGTCATAAAAAAACTAAATGCAATTTTTTTTGCACATGTATAACTTGTGCCAAAAATGATATAGCGTATTTATTTTTAATGTATGCGCGACAATAGCAAATTTTGGATGGCAGGGTCAAATATCTGTGATCGATGGTAATGTGATGTAGGTTAGAATGGAACAATATGGATGACTTACCACAGACTAAATTGGGGAGAAATTTAAAGTTGTTCGACCAAGTTAATCTATGGTAAGTGTGTAGACAAGAACGTTTCGGCCGTTTTTGAGTACAAAATTATATTTAAAAAAAAATCTCTAAGTAGTCCTCCTATAGTTTAAGGTGTTGAAATTTTTTGAAGAGCCGTCTATGTTTAGAGGTGTTGTCGATTTATTAATTATTGTCTATGGATAAGTTAGGATTTTGCAATAACTAAAAAAAATATGTTTTCCTTTTATATAAATGTGGTGCTTATTATTGTTTAATTTCACGCAGTGTAGAATAATCTTTTTGACATATTATTTAAGGTAGAATGAGATGATTTTATACTTATAAATATAAAAAAGTAGACGCCATTTTTATTATTTTGTTAAACAGTTTAAATGTTTTTAAAAAACACGTCTGTTTTCTTATTTCTAAAAAAGTTATGTTTTTTGGCGATTTATATTTGTGACTTAAAAAGCAATCAAAAGTTTCTTTATTAATAAGTAAACTAGAAAGAGGTTATTTGAATAATAAGCAAACGCAGAGATATGTAATGATATAACAAAATTCTTAAGCCTCCTAAGTATTTGAAGTGTTAAAAAAAACATACATCTATGGTCGAATGTCTACTTTATGTTTATAAATATAAAAAATATATATATTTATTACGGAATATTGGATGAAACATTCAATGTTTATTTGCAAATGTATGTTAATTCTAATAGGATTAAGATTATAATGTTCTATGAGTTAGGACGCTATAAGCAATTAGTTTTAAACGAAATTCTATTCTATATTTATATTGCGGAAGGTTTTAAGCCATTTTACTAGTCGAAAATTGAGAGATAAAATTTCTTATTGGTTAGGTTGTATAAAAAAGTTATTGTACTGCGTTTCATTATACTGTGTCAGATTTAAGAATTAAAAAATTAAAGATTAATGTATCACCATGGACTAAATTTGGATGGAAATTTAAAGTTATACTGTCTAATTAATCTATGGTGAAATTGTACAAGTGTAAGTTTAGATAATTATTGTTATAATGAGTAAGCAATTTTTGAAGGTCATTGTACTTAATACATGGTCCTTCAGGCCGGATACAAAGCGCCATAACGCAATTTCCATAAAGCTGATAGATTTGTTGTTTTATCTGTTGATAAAGCTGATAGAAAACTTTTAGAATAAAAAGGTTTATATAAAATAGAAAACCGATTAAATTAAATTTCTATAACATTTCATTAAAAATTACATATCCTGCTACCAGTGTTGCCAGCTTTATATCCTTAATTAATGACGCGGCGGATCTAGACTAAAAATAAACTCGGTACAATATAATATTATGCTTAGTTCTAATCCTAACTGATATAAATTAAAACGTTTGTTTTGTTATACTTTTAACCTATTTACATGAAAGTGACGCCGAAGTTCCATATTTCTAGCTGTTAGTTAGTTAGTTATCATATCTCTAGCTAGTATTTTGCATAATGGTCTACAGTGAAATATTTTCACTGTTTGGGGTATGCTTCATAATTAGTAGGATCGTATCTCCAAGTGCCGGTTATGGGGGCTTTTTCCTTCCTGAGATATAGCCTTCCAAAAGGGTCTGATGGTTCCTGATGGTCTGGTATAGTCTGATAGCTCTCAAAGTTTTTAAACGCCATATCTCTGGAAGATAAAGGCCTCCAGGAACTGAACTTGGACAAATGATTCTAATAATTATAAAGTCGAGTCCAAAACTTATAATTTCACTCTAGACTACTATGCAAAAGGCAGGTTACGGTCGGTGTCCTCTTTGACAAATAGCAAGGCATCGAAGGACATAGTATATTTTTATTTCTGCGAATCGCAGTTACGCAGACGATGTTTCGAGAAGAATCTAGTACTAAATAGCTATATGCCCAACAAAAATCTATAGTTTTGCCAAACTGAAGTGGAAACACCACTGCACATCTTATGTGGTTGTAGCCCACTCATGCATAAATGTAACATCTCCTTTGGAAAGTTTACACTCTATTCTGAGGAGATAAAAACCATCGCTCCGAAGTATATCCTTCAATTCTTGTCCCTGATGGGTTTAGGTAGCGAACTCTGAAAAAGGGCGAGCACAATAGATCTATGTAGGTCACAGCGCTGCAGGTCCAAGCACCTGACAATAGCCCAAACAGCACAATAAAAAATAACTATATATCTGAACATAATGCTTAACAATTATACAGGACTTGTATCAAATATATCAGCATAATGTCTTTCTAACTGTCCGTCCGCGCAATTTCGTAAAAAGAGGTACAAGGTTTTGTTCAAAAATGTCAACGATTTTTTTTACAAAGTCTAGGCAAATATTTTAAAGAATTGTTTAAAAACAAATGTATCTATGAGACGTATATAGATGGAACCTAAGTTATGATATGGATTTTCTGCGAGTCGATGAAACTCTAAACCAAAGCAAGGACTTATGGAGCGGCTGAAGGCCAACTCCCGCCTGGCGGATACGACTTTTTTTGAGGTCACCGCTAGGTTTCGAACCTTGTCTCATACTGAATTGAACGGTTATCGACCGGAGGGGTCTATAATACGGTTCATTGTAGATCTATTATATATTGATCTCTACATGTGTCATTCTGATTTATTGGTGCAATTAATGTTGCCATATTGTATATTTTATTATCTATATTTTACTGTCAACGCGATATATAGGGTGCTACAAATTATTTGGATTCCCTTCAAACTATGTTTTGGATGTATATTACGATAATAGTGGAATTTTGTGTGCGGAATATATAAATATTTATCAAAAAAATATAATTTTTATACTTATTATATTTTTATACCAAACATTTCGCATTGTGTAGATTGACCTTTAGAAATAGAAGTAATTTCTAATCGAAAAAACTTAATTTAAGTACTTTTGAATATTTATTATTTATTCTACCACTCATCTATTGCCATTTCGGTCCCAGTGTCCTTTTGTATATACTTACAAAGGGTTTATTATTAAATTATCTTAGTACCTAAATAAAGATCTCCTTATATATAATGAAGGAATTAAGAGAGATGGTTAAAAAATATATAATAACATAAAAAATGCACCAGTTGAGTTTCTTGCCAGTTCTTCCCAACCGAAATCGCTAGATTACTGGACGGTAGGGATATTTATAGAAAATGACGAAAGAGACAAGTGTCCTATATGCAGTATATAAATATATAATGATGATTTCAAACATACTTAGTTTGGTATCATATGTTTTTTTAAATATTTTCATGCCACCGAGGCATGTATCTCCTTTACTATCATAAAGATATCTATAAGCTACGGTAACCATTTACCATCACATGGACCGTTTACTTGATTAGCACTATCGTAGTGTAAATTATATATATATATATATAGATATAATAATAATAACTCTTTATATATTACAATGAAAAAAAAAATGTCTTACAAAAGGCGGTCTTATCGTTATTAGCAATCTTTTAGAGGCAACCAGGTGTTGACAGAGAGTATGTACATAGAGAGAGAGAAGGTATATTATATTATATACTATTTTCTGGAGCAGGGAATGCAAGAAAATTTGTAACACCTTATATTTTGTTGTTAATGTAATTTATTAAGATTCCATGAAAATATAGGTTATATTTATTGTTATAATTTAATTTAATGAATTTTTAAGAAATATATCAAGTAATCTTAGTGTTAGGAATTAAGCTTGCGTTTCATCATTTATTTGTTTTATGCGAAATATGTCAAATTATAAAAACTGTTGTTATGTCACAATCTTCATTCGATATTAAAATGTTTTGTATACAGAAATATATAAAAGAATTCTATGGAAAAATACAATATACGAACTATAAAAGTATG